CAAATTCATGTCTGGCCGAAGGATGTGCAATGAATAAAATGCCTGTTATTTAGCTCTTTCACTCAATCCAAATCCAATCCAAAAAAAAATCCAATTATTTATTTATTTATTGTGTGGATGCAAATTTAAACAGGTTTTGTAACATGTTTCCTATCATAAATTGGGCAGTGAAGTAAAAGCGTATTTAAAGTGTCTGGCCTTGGAAACACATTTCTATAAAAAAGTTCATGGAAAGTATAACAAAAACCCACTAGACAAGCAGTATTTTATAATTAGGCCAACGTGACTAATTTTTATTATGCAGTATAAATATATTCATAGTAGAGCTGCACGATGTAGGAAAAAAATTCACATTGCAATATTTTTTTTATCCTGCGCTACTGTATATATTACGATATACAGTAGATAAAATTTCACCACATGCCTTATATTAATAAATGAATGACTTAAATCTTTTCGCGTAGCCATTACTTGGGGTGATTTGTATGGGAGTGAAATCTAAATATATTTTATGTAATTTATTATATGCATATAATAAACAAACTACAATCATAGATTCACAAATCAAATGAACAGGGCTTTTTGGTTTTCTAGAGAGAGATTAACAGTATTTAGGTACAGAAAAAGAATAATCAAGTGTAAAAGAGCATCGCATAGTTGTCATCATATAAATAAATCAATAAAATGTGTCTTTATTAAACTTTTTTATGCTCTCCTAAAATGTTTCAAACTCTTAAAATACTCACATAGGCCTTAAAATAAATGAAAACTGTAAACTTTTACTCTATAATGGTTAAATTCTGTGGTGTCTCCACAAATCTCATACTGAATGTCTTGACCTGTGGATTCTGGTCAAACTAATCCCAACTCAACACTGCATATCTTGTGATGTGACTATTGTTGTGATATCGATGCTCAATTGATATATTGTGCAGCCCTAATTCATGGCAGAAAAAGTCTTCATCCCAAAATGTATGTTATAGGGGATGCAGATGCTTAATATTCAGTATTCTATGGGAAAATATTTAGGAAATATGTTTGACTTCATTTGTTGAATTTATGTTCTGTTATTATTATCCAAAGTGACATTTGTAGTATTAATCTAATGATCTTATTGTGTGATTGAACGCATTTCAAACACAAACAGCCTGATGAACGTAAATATATATACATATATATATATATATATATATATATATATATGCTATTTAAAATAAATTAAAGCACTGAAATGTGAACATTCTACACTAAAGAAGAATATTTTACTGCAATATTTTACTGAATATTTTAACACAACTCTTTATAATTTTTCAGGGAATTTAATTGTTTTATGTTCAATCATTTGTTAAGTTAACTTAATCGGTTTGTGTTGGGACAGCCTAAAAGAATTGCCATTTAAAGCACTGTAAAAATGCTGGGTTCCACACAGTTCCTTCATGTTGTTCCAATACGAATCAATTAAGTTAACTTAATCGTTTTTACATATTTAAGTGGATTGAACGTAAAACAATTAAGTTGTTCCCAAAAAACCTTAAGAACTGTATTGTACTGTATTGTATTGTCAACACATTTTAATAAATAGTTTAAACAAGCAGCACTTTTTTTCAGTGAACAATGATTATTCAAACCTTTAAATTAAGGCTTCAAATCCATCTGAACTTTTAAAAAGCAATGGATTGCACCTTTAACTATTTTAATGCAGTTGATCTCAGCAGGATGTGTTTTTTTTGTTGTTTTTTTTAGTGTTGGTTTAAATCCGGCAGGTGCTATTTCAGAGCATTACTGGTCCAGACTGTGGCTCTGCCCATCGTGTTTCCTGTTTGATATTTATCAGCTGTGATGGAAAGGTCTTTTCCAAATGAGAAAACAGACATTATTTATACAATAGCGACTCCACCACAGAGAAACAAAACTAATTGAGTTTCAAAACCACATCTTGTTTTGAATATCTTAGCATGAAACTCGTATTGCTTTCTATTTGTCAACACTCCTCCTCAGATTTGTTCTTATTCCTGCAAATGTAAATAAAAATAGTTAAAATTCAACATTAACATTAACAAGATTTTAATTTACAGTTGAAGTCAAAATTATTAGTCCTCCTGTGATTTCTTCTGAAATATTTCCCAAATGATGTTTAACAGAGCAAGGAATTTTTCACAGTATTTCCTATAATATTTTTTCTTCTGGAGAAAGTCTTATTTGTTTTATTTCGGCTAGAATGAAAGCAGTTTTTATTTTTTTTAAACCATTTTAAGGTCAATATTATTAGCCCTCTTAAGCTATAGTTTCTTTGATAGTCTACAGAACAAACCACAGTTATACAATGACTTGTCTAATTACCCTAATTTGCCTAATTAACCTAGCTAAGCCTTTAAATGGCATTTTAAGCTGAATACTATATCATGAAAAATCTAGTAAAAGATATGTACTATCATCATGGCAAAGATAAAAGAAATCAGTTATTATAACTTACGTTTAGAAATGTGTTAAAACATACAGGGGGGCTAATAATTCTGACTTCAACTGTATATATATATATATATATATATATATATATATATATATATAATTTATTTACACTTTTTGCATTATCAGGGTGACTACAGTTTTTAAATTATATATATCATACAATATTTTAATCAGAATATATTCTCTTGCTTCAGATTGAAACTATTTCCTGTTGCTTTTTTTAATTGTCTACTTTTGAGTTTGATGCCTATTGGCTCTGACTGTGTGTATCCACAGCAGAATGTGGTGTTGAGAAGGTCAGAGCTTGTGTCTCAAAGAGCAGTTGTCCTCCCAGTGGGGTTGATGGTCAAGGGTCAACAGCTTGAGGTCAGTGGGGTGGAAGAGGAGAGGAGGGACTACACCGGGGTACAAATGATCTCCTCTCCTCCTGCTCTTGTTCCTGTGTTTGACTCGCACAGTTTCACATATGTACCGAACAGGTTTTGCCCCAGCTGCTCCTCGGTGGGGATTTTAGTGGGACATGTAAAACGTTCAAGTCACTGCATGGTGCAAATACATGTCATTCATTACATACACTGTCAAAAATGCAGGGTTGCACGCAATTCATGAATGTTTTCCCAAACACAAATAGATTAAGTTAACTTAACAAATTGAACATAAAATAATCACCACCCAAAAATCCCAAGGATTGTGTTGTTTTAGCTCATTTTAAATAAATAGATTAAGCAAGGAGCAAAATAAGGTTTGTTTTTGAGTGTACAATTCCTCCAAAGCAAATTAATATTATAAATAAATGTTTGTTTTAAGTATTTTGTTGTTTATTATGCAACAGTTCTCTAGTTTGGATTGGCTAAATGACATTTTGTTGTACAAATCATAAATATGGCTAGATTTTGAAATGCAAATCAAATTATTTTGGATAAATGATAGATTATCTATCTATCTATCTATCTATCTATCTATCTATCTATCTATCTATCTATCTATCTATCTATCTATCTATCTATCTATCTATCTATCTATCTATCTATCTATCATCTATCATCTATCTATCTATCTATCTATCTATCTATCTATCGCCTGAATATTTTTGTAAATAATAACTTGGCAACTAAAATCTGTTTCAACTTAGTTATACATTATTTGGACAAACAACTTTGTAAACAACAAACGTAGCTAGCCTACTGGTTAAGTTGCTTAAATGTTTGTTTAATTAAATTTAATAAAATTATAATTTACATATAATCAATTGTTTTCAGTAATAATAATAATAATAATAATAATAATAATAATAAAACTTTCAAGGTATATTATTCTTATACTCCATTGCAAAAATATAATTAATTTTTGCAATTAAGTTTATTCAATCCATAAAGGATAGGAAAGATGCAAGGGCATGTAGACATAAATCAATAAAAAATGTTCGGTCAACATAAACATGTAATATAAATATTTCAAACTCAAAATAATTAAGCATCTCAAATCAGGGTTAATAAAGTTAACCAAACGCCTAAACCTAAAAACTTTCTATTACTTGAAAAAGAAAATGAATAAAAAATAGAAATATATAATAATTCGAAATAATTGAATACTTGAATATTCTATAATATTAATGTGAAACTGGTTTAAACCCTTTTATATGTTCAAAAAATATGATCCAAATTGTATAATAAATGTAGGATTATATATAATTTAACCAGGGGTGGATTTAACCAAGCTGCCGTTTATAGGGCTCCAGGAAATCTGAGGGCCCCTAATAAATATCTAGAAGTATAAATTATACCTAAAACTAGATATAACATTGTTTTCTATCATATTTTGTATAGTGAGAGATTATTTTTAATAATAATTTTATATTATTTTATATACACTAAAATATAAGATTATTATAATATTGTAAAAATTTATAATAATTATGTAATGTTATGTAATAATAATATTCTAAAATAAAATATCCGCCGCCCCCCAATCATGGAGCAGACCAGCAGTCAAATTTCTAAATATATATTTAGTATTTTTGTTGTAAATTCAATTTAAGAAATCAATCATTTCAAATGTAGAGATTACATTAAGATAAAACATAAAGTAATTTAAAAAATAAATAAAAAAACAAAAATTCAATAAAAGTAGAACGGGTGCATTTCAGGACTTGGGCCCCCAATTTTCTAAATCCGCCCCTGAATTTAACACTCAATCTAGGAAAATAGGTTTAATGTTAAAATAGTACAAGGGTAATTTCTAAGAGTCTTCAGAATGGTGCTGATGCTTCTAGCTCTTGTGAATTGCTTTCTGCGCATGCGCGGCTTTCCCAACTATCACACGCGTGTTGTGCTTGATAGGAGGGTGTAACATCAACGGGATGTTTCACTACGGCTTTCTGGATAAAGAGCGACCGAATACTCTCCGTTTCCTAGCGAAATCTCCCAATACGAACAGATATGTGGGCTGAATCCAAACTCCCTGCCTGAAAATGGGTTAGACGAGCGATGGTTGTGTTTGAAACTCTTCCCATCTCGCAGCAGGAGCAAAACAATGAGGACGAGCGCAAACAGAGACGGAGACTGATCAGTGTCATTCATTCCTGGACTTTGTTTCCTTCTCTTTGTCGTTGAAATGATAGTGGAGCTGGTGTGCAGTGCTGTGGCTCTGCTCCTCTATATGAACACATTGAGCGCTGATTTCTGCTATGATGACAGGTACAGTCCTTCTCCATCACTTCACAATACACTCTTCACCAAAATGACAACAGCGAGACAAGTGTGCTCAGATAGATGTGCGGTTACTTCTGCATTTCAACAAATAAACAAACATTTAAGCAACTTAACCAGTAGGCTAGCTACGTTTGTTGTTTACAAAGTGTTTGTCCAAATAATGTTTAACTAAGTTGAAACAGATTTTAGTTGCCAAGTTATTATTTACAAAATGATTTCAGGCGATAGATAGATAGATAGATAGATAGATAGATAGATAGATAGATAGATAGATAGATAGATAGATAGATAGATAATCTATCATTTATCCAAAATAAGGCTAAAATGTTTGTTTACCATGAGAAAATAGTGTTTCATAGGCAGAGTTAAACCCAAAACAATGTTGGTTAGGTTATTTACTTAATGCATGTTGTGTTATATAAAACTTATTTGTATATTTAATCATTTAACTAAGTAAATATGTATATTTTGATACATCTGTTTATTGTTTTTGTGTTGGAATTGGAAGTGGTTGGAATTCCGCTATAGCATCGCTATAGTGAAGATGCATTAAGTGACAACCTGGGCTAGTTGTCACAGTTTAGTCGTGTCAGTGACTTCCAGGTTGTTTATTTGCAGGCTGTTTACAACAAAGATGCAAAAGGCAGGTTTACTGTACAAATATGTTGAGTGTATTTTATGTGAAATAAGTGACAGCTTGTCCTAGAAAGTAAGGCTGGGCGATTTGGCTTGATTGATTGAACATTTTAAGTTGATTACGATTAATGATTAATACGATTTTTATTTTTTTTTACCCTCATAATTCCCTGACATTTGTTTGTACAGTAAATATGCTCACCTATTACATGTGAGAAATTTCTGAATGAAGGGTGCATTACTTGATTTTCAAATAATTTAAAGAAACACACACTATCTACTGTCCATGGGTATTTATTAAACATCAACGTTAAACAACTGAAATTAAAGCACACATTGCCTAAAATCAACAATAACTTGCACTTTTGGAAACTAAATTAATTATTTTCAATGTTTTTCATATTAAAATTTAATATATTATTATTTATAGAAAATAAGCAGTATCTCTTCTAAACAAAATAACTCTTGCATATCCTGTAAATAATATTTAAAACTGTGCATTTTTTTGCATCTTCTTTAAGCAAATGTTTTAATTTAAATAATAATTTTAATTAATGTTTTGAAAAAATATGCCGTCTTTCTGGCACAGCTTCGTCAATCATCAATGTAGTTCAAAATAACATAATAGTAACAAACAACGCAGCGTCACGTGAGTCCACATGCGGTAAGGTAAGTAATTAAAAAACTCGACCTGAAAAAATTGTGTCGATTATTGGTTCTGAATGTCATTTTCGATTACTTTTCGATTAATCACCAGAAAGCCCCAAAACCATGCAATTTGTTTAGACTTCTTTAATCAAACCCACCCTAAAGAACTCGTTAACCATTAAAATAGTTTAACGCTGGGTTATATGTGTCATAAATGATACCAACTGGAGAAATAGATTGAGGTAAAGTTTGTTAATTTTTGAACAGTAATAACTTGTGACACAGCCTCCATATTGTTTTCTATTCTACTTTGAATATTCAGTCTGAAGTCATATCCAAGTATGACCTCAAAACAACATTAGCGCTGTTTAATGGACTGTGAACAATAGTGTACTTTGATAGTCATTTGCTGCTAATATGATTTCACTTTTCTGAAGCTATATTATTAGGGAGAAAGTCAGAATGCACAATTCCCACCAATATTTTTAAAATGATTTTCAGGAAACTGCAAAAACACATCTATGGCATTATTTTGAGTGTTTACTTCGGCAAAATGACCCATGAAACGTTTGGTTTAGTCTAGCAGACATTGTAACAGGAATGTGATAATTGGTGTAAACACGTCCATCTGCTTCTGATTCCATTAAGATTCATTGATAGACTCCCAGGTTGAACCTAATTTGGCATTACAGCTCAATTCAAGTGTAGTTGGGCATGCCAATGTTCATGCCACACTTCCTTTTGTTTGTTTCAAAATTATCTCATTCCATTTACCTCACAAGTAAGATTTTGGAGCTGGAAATTACATCACAATCTGTGTTACAGTATAGGCATGTCAGAATAACAATGCTTTACCATTTACTGGTGTGAAATGAGGTGGAAAAGTTAACCTTTCTAGACACAAGGTTGGATGTTGATATGCTGAGCTGTTTGGGATTGAGAAGTTGAAGAAGTCAGAATTTGGTTTGGTGTCATCACGTTCCCTAGAAGTTACACACAATGTGTAAATGTTAACGTATGGCCAGTGACCTTTAATGTTCTGATGAGAGCAAGTGCTAATTTAAACCCAAGAGATTCCCATAAGCGTGCATCCTTCTCTGTCCCTCTTGAGTGACCACAGATACCCAATCAGCACACTGACCCTGCAGAGTCATTCATCAAATCGACCTTCTCACATAAAGGTCAACAGTCCTGCGTCCTTCAGCAGGCCTCCGGGGTTTAAGTTGCTTTGATTTATGTGTTTGTGTGCGCAAGGCATAATCAAAGAATCTGGTGATTGGTTTCCGTGATTCCAGACTCGACTCCAGGGACTGTTTTCTGTCTCTGACTGTGGTCATACACCAGCTGTTGAAGTGCGGTTGCTCAGCTCTGGAGTAGCGCGCTCTGTCTCTGTTTTCTTAATCACGTCAAGTGTTTTTCCTTGGAACGCAATGGAGGCTTGTCCACACTCCGTGCGCCAATGGTAATATCAATAAAAAAAAAGCAGAGTAAAGCATTCTTGGTATGAAATGCGCAACTCGGAGAACGTCAGCCAGTGCTAATCCTACTGGGGACAATTTATTTTTACATGTCTTGAGAGCGATGTTTGAGAGTCGCTTTGTGATCTTGTGCCAGTTTTGCTTTTCTAAAGCGTTTTCCATGACTGACTGTGAGCTATAAGACCTTGCTTACATGCTTTCTGCCCTCTGGATGAGCTTCACGTGCCCTGCAGAGATAAGATCTTGCTGTTTGTTTTGAATGTCAGAGTTGGATTAGAGAAGAGACTTCCAGAGGATGTCGTTCAGTGATTAGCTCAGGTTTAACCAAGCCCATATCCATTGCAGAGAACACATTTCTTATTGTCTTTGTCCAATTTGTTAGACTTGTAGAGCAGCTGCTGACATCAGCAGTTTATAAAAATTAATTGTAATCAACAGAAAGGTTTGCACAAGAAATAAGGTTTTTAGTTTAACTCGTTGTTCCAGTGCAGGTCGCTTTTCTTCATCTTTGTGCATCTGTATCAGTCCTTAAACATGTGACCCTAAATGTGTAATGGGCCTCAAGGGGGATTTACAAAGAAAACATCCCGCTCTTTTCCAGCTGTGTGACGAAAGGCACGCTCAACCAGTTGTGTCTGAGAAGCTTCGCAAGGACATGCCTGCTGTGTATTTGTTCTTAAAGTGGTTCTGATATTCAGTGTTCTTTGTTTTCATCATTAAACATTTCACTGTATTGCAGAGAGTTGCGTTCAGTTCGATGAACCTGTGTTTTTAGCAGTGAGAGACTGTTTAGCACTTTGTGGCTTGTGTGTGTGCTGTGATGGATAGATTATGTCAAAGATAGTTGATGCTCTGTTTCAGTTTTACGACACGTGACTGTCTGTGGTTTTAACAGATGTACAGATACTAAATAATTCAAATAAACATGAATGTTTTATAAATCAATCCATTACTCAAAGCTTTTATGCTGCATTTTGATCACATGAAAGATGTTTTGTTATGCAGGTTTTATGCAAATGAAGTAAAAAGTCAACTATTTGCCATCTACGCTAGGGCTTTGCCGATAAACGATATTATATCGAATCGCGAATCTGGAAACATTAACAACTTATATTGAAATGTATTTCATTATTGTTTAATATAGAAAATAATTATCGAGCATTTTTGCCATATCGACCAGCCCGTAATCTACGTACATATGATCTATCTCCTGCATCTTTAATTCTGACATTAAAAACCTTGCTATTACAGGCCTTTATATTAGTTGGCACCAGACTGTTTATTTTATCAATTCATTTGTTCTAGACATGTTCTCATGCCTTTTAAAATGTCAGACTGTTATTTTTATTAATGCTCTTGGGGTTTCTGGACAAAGAGTTTCCTGAAATGGTCCTTATTATCGATTTTGAAGTAGCAACATGCCCATTGGTGGCCTGGGAAAGAATTTAAGTCAGCTAATGAATTTACAGTATGTATTTCTCCAACCATGTCTCAATTATTTGAAACCATGCTTGTGGAATTCTCATCATCAGTATGCACTTAAGTGTTTTTTTATATATATACAGAATATATTGAATTTACTACCTTTGCTGGACTTTCTACCACAACACTGCACGATTGCTCTTGTGTCACTGGGTAATGTTCTCTGATTGACCTTAACACTGTGTCCTAACAACAAGCACAACAAGATTCCAGCAGCAAGAAATTTTGCTGTCTGCGCAAGATGAAATGCAACAGAAACATTTAAATACAAGCCATTTAGAATAGTTTTCTGCACTTCCAATGGAATGGACAGGTTTATTATCTAATTATAAAGTAATAAACCTCTTTAACATTATAAAAAGTACATGCTGAGTGACTGATGTTGTTGGTCTGAGACACAGTTCTAATGTTCATATTTAAACTGTATGTTTGCAAGCAATCTCTCCTCTACTGCTTTCAGCATGGCAATAAATGCCACATAAAATGACATTCAAACACATACTAGTAACATTTAACACTGTAAAAACATTCTCATAGTAGTTTATGTGTGCACCAGATGTGACGTCAGAGAAATAGAGACATCATCATGGGTGTCACGACTGCCAGCGTTCTAGCCCCTTTAGATCACTGGAAAACATTCACTATAACCCGAACTACAATTCTACCCCTGAACTGCACTACATTTCCCATCAGGCACCTCACTCACACACCAGTTCTGGATCACCCCTGATTACTTGCACA